ACTACAAAAAAAAAAAAAAAAAAAAAAAAAAAAAAAAAAGATTCTAACGTGACGCGCGCGTGCGTACATCTGTTTCCCTCTTTCAAAGTCGGTTTTTTTTCCCCACCGTTACAAAAGTTTACCGCTTTGATTCCTTCCCTTTGTTACGCCGTTGGATTAGTCCCTTTCCAATGATTTCAAGTTTCACAGAGCGATAGCCATTTTGCGGACCGGCCTGTACTAACCCTACCTCTGCTTTTTTTTTTCTCTCATTCTTTTTCGAACGTTCTGGTTCGACAAACCAATGAATTATTCCGAACGGACGGCCGCTCGTCGAACGGATATCTCCAGGTGGGAACGAAACGAGTCGTTGCGCGGCGTCTCGCGTGACTTATCGCCGCACGGAACAAGAAAGTTATTAACTGTAGCGTAGTGGAACGGGACGAGACGATCGGTAGACGCGGAACTAGTTTGTGGACCTCTTATTGGACGTTTAAAAATTTCCACGGGACGACGCTTCGACTGAGAAATGGAGTCGAGTAGGGAGATAAACGGACCACCCGTCCGTCCTTTCTCCGCATTCCCCGTCTGCCGTGTCCCGGCGAGCATCGCTCCAATATTTGCGAAGAAGTACGAAAGCTCTCCAAATAAAACGGGCCCTCTCGTCTTCGTTAAAATCGTTCCAAGTAATTATCGGGCCGTGGTGTAAAGTCGGACGCGCCGCGGTGTTTGCAAAGTGATTCTGACCGACGACTATCGATCGTGATTAAACGGCTACGACCGGGCTATTACGGCGGTCGATAGGTACTGCTTGTTGTGAATGACGTTTAAAGATTCCGTCGAGGGACTGTTAGGCGGCGTGCACGTGGAAGTTATCTCGATGATTATTTAATAAAGAGGTTGCTTGTGCGGGGTGGTTTGGAATTAGTGGTAGAACAGAGATGTCTGTTTACGTAGAAGTGAATCGAAAGTATGGGAGTAAACTTTTCATTGATGGCTAATAAAGTGGATTCATATACTCGGTGGTCTTTAATTGGCGGTAAAATCGAAGAGGTCTAGTTACACAAAAATAGATTGAAAAGATAGAATGAAATATTCGCATTTTTGTCTAATAAAGTAGATACTTATACAGGGTAATTTGGAATTAGTATTAAAATAGAGATGCTTTTTTTATGCAAAAGTAAGTCGAAAATTTGAAATGTAATATTTTCGTTGTTTTCTAATGAAGTAAATGCTTATACAACAATGTTTTTTTACTTAATAGTAGGTCGAACAGGTACAATTTAATATTTCCATTGGCGTCTTATAAAATTGACACCTAAACCGGGTGGTTTGAGATTAGTAGTAAAAACCGTGGAGATGTTGCTTACATACAGTAAATCGAAAGAGTCGACTGAAACATTGCCATAGATATCTTTCTTTACCAGAAACTCAATTTCCTGTATCCGTACAATATGCATGCTATTAAATACAACTTCGCTGATGTGTCTGGTTATTACATTCCGTTTCCATTCGTTGCGAGCTGTAACAATGGTGAACAGTATTCAGTTACGATATCTTTCAAAGCTTCCCACTATTTCACCGAAAAGAATTACACTCGAACGTTCCAAACCTTTCCGATTTCGCACGTTTTCGCTAGAAAAGGTGACCAGTTACAAGGACCGAATCGGAAATAAGAATGTAGACGGAGTTTGATAAACGAAGACGTCGGATCATGCAATCTGGTTGGGAAATGTCACTCGATGCTTCAGCGGTCGTGTGCACACGCTGAAACGAAAATGACCTGGCTGGTATGCAGGTGCACTTAAGATGAGCAGACTGACAGTTTCCGTTTAAAGTAATGGATTATATCACGTGGTGGCGTCGATTACGTTTCACGGTTCTAACACGTTGAATGTCACAGTGAAAAGGGCCGTGCGTGGCCAGACATGCATTATTACTTTTCTTGTAATCATAAATCGTCCAAAATACACATTTTTCTTTGTCCTTACTTTTCGTTCCTTAAATGATTACATAGCATTTTTTAAACGTGTTTCATTCAGACGAATCGTGACAAATCCAACGACTATAAATACTTTACAAAAAAAGTACAAACAACGTAAAGAAAGTCAACAGAAGTTGTACAATACCGCGTATCAAAGTGTTCGTTGCAGGAACAATCGAACGCTCCAAGGTATACGTATACCACAGCGTTGCTTCTTATGATACGTACTAATAAAAAATATTTAAAAAATGTTATAGTGCTATTTAACAAACAAAAGGTAATATTCGTATTCCCGAAAACAATGCAGATAAACAAACTCTGATTTACAGAATCTGTGCACACTTAAATACAGTTCAGCTTTTCTCTAACATAATTTTTGTGATTTTCAAGGAATTTCCTGAAATTTTTTGGGCCACACTTACGTAGAACACGCTGTATATCTGTTCAGTCAATAGATGCTGTTCGTCTTATTTTAATTTATACTGCGACATTAATTTTACGCAAAATTCTGTAACGATGTTTAAATAATCCAGCTCACATTGCAATGCACATTTCACCTATATTTAGGTGGCGTGACAGTGTTAAAGATGCCGACGAAAATACTCGTCCTAGCCACGATTCGTCCTCCAGTTCGTTCGCCATTGGTTTTTACGCGGGAATTTCAAGCCGCACCAACACTTTAACTATATCACCCCCTTTGGCGCGCCCCGCACCGTGCGCCGGCGTCGAGTTTCTTTCATTCGAGCAGCCAGCTTCTCGACCCTCGTGACTAAGACAAATGGTATATATTTATTTCACGACACGGCAGCCAGTGGATTTCTCCTTTCTCCATTATGCATCGCCCTCGTTAAGCATTTCTTTTCTTTCTTTCTATTTTATTTCGACGCTTCTCCCTGACGCGCTCGCCTCCGCCTCTCTCGTTTCCTTCTTCTCTGTTCCGTTCACCTCGTCTCTCCGCACCCCTCTCATCTACTTCTCTTTCATTTTCCCCTTCGTCTTCTTCTTCGTCTTCTCGCCTGTACCTTCTCGGTTCGAGGTCTTATTCTTCCTTCCGTTGGCTTTTTGTCACCTTTCCTCCTCACCCACACTTCGTCCCCACTGAGCACCGTTTGGGGGGTTAGAACACAGTTGGAGACCGCGTCGCGACGAAATCGTAGGGACCGAGTAATGAAAGAATTCGGTCCCACGTATTGAACCAGATTTTTCCAACGGAGATTTCTCGAGCACTTGGCAAGGTACGACGAGTCAAGGGTTACGAGGGTTTTCCTCCGGTTCGCTCGATATCTCGTCGGTTCCGATATTCTTTGTCCGTTCGAGGGGTGGGGATAGAAGTTACCTGGCGATCGGTCGTCGAATTAACGGTTAGACCGACCCCCACGGAGCCGATGAAACTCTACCCCCGTTAATTAAAAATATTCAACTCATCTGGCCGGATAACGGAGATAAAGGCTCGTTGTAATACGTATATATATATATATATTTTTTTTTCTTTTTATCGCGTTTAACGGGCTTACTTTCCCAACGACCGATAAAAACGGCGTCCTCGCGCTCGCCGAAACTTTCGCAATAGAGTCGACCGTCCCCGCCCCCTCGCGCCGGTTAACACCGTCCCCGGTAATAGCTTTAATTCAGCCTTATTATTTTCAGACGGAAACTTTTATGGAACTTCTACGGGAACTCCCGAGAACCTGGGTTACGACCGTTTAGGCGTGCTAATCCATCTTGACGCCCCTTCCCGGCTGCGTGACGGTTTAGTGCGTCTCTGAGTCGAGCGGATAACTCGCGCCGCGGGAGACGCGTCAGACGGTTAATAGAAAGTTCGAAATTGCTAAGTTTTTTTTGCAACGGGAATGGTCACGTAATTGGAACGGATGACAGATACTGGATTCGTTAGGGATGAAACAAATAATGGAGGAATCGTATTGAATGGTACGGTAACGGCAATTTATACAGGAATTTTTTTCGAGTCGTTGGCGCTCACCACTAGCTGTTATTCATGTTTATTCATTATTCTGTTAAAATATGGCCATAGAACGAGTAACTTTTGGTAAAGAAAAACAAACCTGCCTGTACGAAAGAACACTTCGAAGTTTCAGTATTTTTGTTCGATACACGATACACGTTTTCTGTTTACGCAACGGGAAATGTAATAAAGAAAGTGTATTTGTAAGATGGGAGGTACGCAAACTTCGTTTGTTGTTTCTGTGTACAATGGGACGTTGTGGTTGCCGGATATATGTGACACGTAAGGGGGAACGGAATAAACTTTTGTTCGGAGTAATAACGCGAAGATAATAAATATATTGGAGCTATCTTTAGTATATTAATATTAATAATGTTTATAAGAGTGTAGAAGCTCGATTAGCAAGTAGAAAGATTCCATTTATAAATTGTAAATTAACATGTTTTGATTGGTGAAAGTTCTCATGTTCATTTTTATTGTACACAAATCGAACAGTTTTTTTATGTATTTTATTCGAGATGTACATACCAAAAGAAATTGATAAAGCCTTTAATCGAGGAACGTGTAGTATATCTTTTCCTATCAATTATCTACGCAATTATATGCATAATATGCAAAAAAAGACTTGTAGTTGTTATTGTACAAGAACAGAAAGAAGTATGCGAAATTGAAAAGACCCTACAATTTGTATTTGTTGTTTGAACGGTAACAATTGGTTTACGGGAGTTCCTAAGGTGACTGTGGTTAATGACTTAAGGTACTGACGTAATACGACTACGTAATACGACAATACCCAACAGTTTCCTAACAAATAATCATATCTAACGTCTCAAATTACCTGTCGTTACAAACCACCCTTCTTCCCTCTTAAACCCTTCCTCCATCTGCCCTCCCTGCCATTACAGCGTTCACCTTCTGAACTTCCACCAGACCCTACATTTTTATTAGCCTTAAATTTTTAACTTTCAACCAGGCTAATTTCAGCGTGGAACGGGGATCGAGCGAACTTCCGTGTCAGTTTTTCCGCTTCGTCCTAGGCGAATGAAGAATTAAGAATTTAAATAAACCACTCACCCCCGAGGCGTAACTCCGCGGTGGCCTGGACCATCTCGTAGTCGTTCTGCGCGAAACACTGGTACATCCCCTTGTCGTCCCTCGCGATCGACGAGATATGCAACGTCGAACCGTCGTTACCAGTGATTCTGCTTCTCCCTGAAGCGCTCTCCCTCACCGGAAGCCCGTCCTTCGACCACGTGATCACCGGTCGTGGCTGACCGGTGACGGAACACTGGAATTCCGCGTCTTTACACGTTCGCCCATAAACGTCACTTATAATCTCCCCTGAACGTCTTTAGATAGTTTGATATTGTTTCCAGAGGGGTGGAGAAGCTAGCTGCCCGACTGTTTCGTGGAAATCTATTTTGCCCGCGGGGCGGACCCGATGAACGCAGCTACGAATCATAAACTTGACAGAGTATACTACGAACAATTTCGTTTCGTCGGAAAACTGGCACGTGCTCTTTCTGTTTTCTTTTTGAGTAACTGTGCGAGCGTTCTAGTGACGGGTTTGAGAAGGCAAAATTATACTTGGACTGAAAAATGAGGATTTTATTGCATTTCTCAAGTTAAGAGACACTAATATGCATAAACATATGCAGTTTAGTTATCGCAGAATTTTTATCGAATAATATTATAGTGAAAAGCAGCAGTGTCTGAAAGCGTCATTCGACTTTTTAAACAGTTAATAAGATTAAGTAATTCTTTGGCAAGTGTCTACTTATTCCAGAAGAAGTATTATTTTATTATAAAAATTGGAATTTCCACGTTCATTTATTTCCACGTTACATTTCAATCGTAATTCGAAACTCTTTATTGTGGATAATGAACTTGTCCATCTCTGTGTTATAGGATTCTGATTCTGTCACCGTTAATGATTCTCCGATTTGTAACATTAAACTTGTTCCACTGTAACTTAAGAATTCCACGTGTCTCTTATTCCCCATACAATCATTGAAATATCATTAATACCTACAGGAAGAATATTGTAAATTCTGTAAAACCCATGTGCAAGAGTTAATCCGGTTCTATACTCTCAGTTGTTCTTTCTGGGCTTACCTAATGCAATACAAACTGTACAGACTATTCAATTGCTTCTTTTACCCATCTTCCACTTGATCAACACAGCTCTATTTGTAGAAACAATCCGAAAAAAGAACCGAGTACATATCGTCTGATACAGAAATTAAGTGAAAGTGATAATTTCGAACTAAACGAACGTGCCTGGTTATTAACCCTTTAACGACCATTGTTACATCGGTGCAACACTCATTTTAAAAGTGCATCAAACTCTGTCACTGGTTGATATCTAACTATTGTCACCAAGAATCCCTTGTATCATTGATGTGAAATAGATTTTCACGTTTTCAGTTGAAAAATCCATGTATTCCCTCCAAAAAATAAGTAAAAAACAGAAAATAAAATGAAAAATTTACGTCCGTTTAATATCGGTATTTTCGACTTCACAATGACCAGATACAACATATATATCAGTCTCATAATTTTCAAATAACGATTAGGGCGTTTCAGGATCAACGAACATTCTCTCACTTCGATGCTGTTGCCTGCTACAACATGTGTCTATTCAAAGGATCAGCCTGACAAGCGAACATATAAATGGCGCGTTGCAGCTTGTAATTAGAATAATAACGTAAGATGAGGATCGCGTGTTGTGACGAACAGTGTGCATACAAACTAAGGCGGAGACTGCAACGGCAGGGCTTTGTTCCACGCCCAGGGAATCAGTATATTAATTCTCTGCTCCAATTTCCGAACAGAATATAGGAGAACTTTGACGGATCATTTACCTTGAAGGGTATCCTTTGATCTTGGTAAATGTTATACCGAAATTATGAAAGGTTCTTCAGCTATCGAATCGTGGAACGTGTTCTGGTTCGATGTACTCGGATCTTGTCGATACAGGGCGACGTGGAACCTGGATCGGTTAGACGTGAACTAGATGATCGCAGGCAGGGTTAATGGAAAACGCCTGACGTGCTCAGACGTAACCGGTCGGATTCCGTGCAGACGAGCATAGGAATCCTTGGCGAAATCGAATGTACCGTTGGGCATTTCGTTGGCCACCTTCGAAAGCTTAATTACTTCCGGGTCACGCGAGGAGCTTCCCTTTGATCAGCTCGGTGCCCCGACTGATTTATCAGTAACGAGAATCGTTCTGGGTAAACGCGACCGGCTCGACGGTCGATTTGACAATGCTCTGTATTTCGAGAAGCTCGACGTACATGGATGGCAATAATTTGTTGGAAGGGGTACGGGGAAAGGAATTTAACCCTTTAACACTGAGACACTTAAACCGTTATATTAAAATTAACAGACTAATACATATCTTATTTTGAAGTTGAAAATATCGATATTGGACAGGCTTGTTTTTTTTCTCATTTTTTCCTTTATTTTTGGAGGGGACACTTGAATTTTGTCAACTGAAAACGTGGATATCTACATCACATCGGTGAAAGTACGGATCCTTGATGACAAATGTTAGATATTATCGGGTGACAAACTTGTGACACCGTGAGTCTTGTGCATTCAACCAAGTTCCACCAAAGGGAACGAAAATTAAATAAAAACGTCGACAAAGCTTTCCATATTACAGGTAATATAAAACTTTGGAATATAATTTAAACTCCCGTCACCTCGTAAAGCCACCGACACAAGAAATAAGTTTATATTTAATCCCAGTTTTTATGAATACGTACATAATACATGGAAGTTTCCTTCAAGAAATAAAAAACCGTATACAACATTGACAATTTATAAAAGAACACGAGATAAAAACATACCGCGATCACGTCTTTCACGTTTTTACCATTACTTTCCTCGAATCGCGTTTACGAACCCACAATACAGAAAAGCTCTCGAGCATTCAGTGGTATTCTTTCCATTACGAAATCCAACCTCATTTCCACGGAAGAATAAGGGGCCACCGAAACTTTCGAACGTTAATATATGAGCAGCCGGACGGTTCGATACAGCCCCCCTCCCCCCGTAAACGGTTGTTATCTGCGACAAGTAGAAAAAGCTTGACCTAGTCAGACGCGTTTGACCGCAGCCCCTTTAAAGGAATACCACAGACGGGACTGACCTACTGACTTTTCCATATCCGTCCCCAGGGGCGTGTCTTAATTGATCTTCGATCGCTGATATAACCCGTTTGATCCGTCCAGGTATCCGTCTTATGTATCATCGAAGAGGCTTGTTTACCAACAGAGATGAACAGGCAGGAGGAGGTGTACCGTCAAAGGGCATAGGTGCAGGCAACGTTGATTCTGCGCGCTGATTACGAGCAATCTATCAATAGACATACGTGCAAGTCGCTTGTGTGTACAGATCAGCCATGGGTTCGGTCGGGTCACTATCACGCGATGCGATCCCCTAGCTATGAATTTCGAAAGCATGTACCCCGACCGTCGTCAAAGGATCGCGACGGATTCCTCGGGCATATCGAGCGTGTCCCGATCGGCGAAAAACGAGGGCACCGCTCCCCTTATACGGCTGAAAGGATCGCAATAAAACGGTCGAGCCACCCCGTGAAACGACGGGTACTCGAACGGCAGCAGCCGATTTACAGGGATCGAGATTACACACGGTGGCGGTTCACGGCCGACCGAAGAATTTCGACGGTGGTCGCGTTGAATCGAACTCACGCGGCCATTAAATATTGTCGAGATGATACCACCCCGAGTTGCTCCATCCCAGTTGCTTTTGTTCCATCGAAGGAAACTTTCTTTTAAACCGAAGTCGGTTTTAAATATCCTTTGATATTGTATTCAACGGGAGAAGACGGAATGGGAAATAAGATACGCAGGAAGCCAGCCATCGAGAGAGGCGAAAGCGTGAGGTGAAAAAAATAAATAAAAGGGGCCACCCCGAAGGCGTCGCCTCGAGTTCCATCTGGCTTCTTCTTTTGTCTTCCTTTTGTCCAAAGTGACTGTCTCCGTTTTCTACCTGTCTCTCCGGTATTATATATACGTATATAACTACGTTATTATGACGCGCAGCGATGCGTTTATGCTTCGTCGTATAACCGCGACACAGGTGCGCGCGCGAGCGACCACGTCGCGTCTTCTTTCGAAACGCTCCGCGGGCGAATCGAGAGGGTGTGTAAAGAGAGTTATCGCGGGAATTTCGAGAAAAATGGACGGTGCAAGTAGTCGTAAACTTCGTGGAACGCGCCTGTGAACCCATGGCTCGTGCAGTCCCAGCCAGTGGAATTCGACGAAATTTTCCGAGCTCACTGCGCGCTCGCGAGAGGATAGTCGCGTAACGAACATTCCACGGGTTACGACAAATGAATTGTAAAGCGGACATGAGTGAGACGGCGGTTCTGCTGTCAGGGGAGGTAGATTGAATAAATCAAACACGCTTGTGTCAGTGCAATTGACGTGTGTTCCGTTGCGAAAAGAGATTGTCTGTTTTTATAGACCTTATGAGCTCCCATCGCAATCTGCGTTGAATATTTTATGGAGCTATTCGTGCGCACAGAGACTGACTTTGATGAATCGGGATGAGGTGATCGGTCAGAAAATTAAATTTTAACGCCGACGCTGTACGCGCCGCAAACAAAAGTTTCCGTACGCAATATTCCTCCGTCCAAAAAACTCCATCTATAAAGTGAATGTTGTGTTGTCGAAATATTTTGGAAAATACTGAAATTCGATTCGGGACAGCTTGTAACGGGATGTGCAACAACTACAGGGATTGAATAAGGCTATAGTTTTATTTCTCGTCCACTGCAATAATGTCATTTTTATACAATGCCAAAGTTAGAAGAATTTGTAATTCCAGGAAATTTTAAGAAAACAGCAGCAGAAACAAAACGATAGATTGAAGAAGCCTATGGCGGTGGTGATCTACAGACACATTCGAGAGATAGTTTCAACGATTAAAAAATGGCGACTTCGACTTGAAAGGCAAAGAACTCTTTGGACAATGAAAGTTTAAATGGAAACTGATAATTTGAAAGTGTCGTCGAAAGAAGACCCGGTCCAATCGACCAGTGAACTTGCGAAGCAGCTTGGTCTTATGAAATTCAAACTAAAATTCGAAAACAATGATGAGGGTATTATTTCAATAAACATTTCAAGGTAAAAAACTTAGTTAACGACTTAATATTACGTAAACTGTTCCCCAGATTCCTAATATCAATAAATCAGCGATGAATGTACTTCCAAGTTCATTCCGTATCTATTCAACGGGTTATCCAAGTATTAAGCACAATCCGCGGAGAACAAAATTACTGTCGAACCGAGCTCGCGTTTTAAAACTGCTGACGGAAGATTTATTAGACCGACGATTCGTTGAAACCTGGTGCGTAACGAAAAGACGGAACGATGCTTTTAATAAAGTACCCCGGCCAAGTCGGGGCCGCGTTAATGGAAGGAAATTGTCGGAGCGAATGGCAGCCAATATATGAGGAGAATCCGTCCGCAATAAGCGTTTCTTTGCTGATGACTGCAAAAGTTATGCGAGAAGCTTCCGGCGAATGAATGCTATTTTCATCGACTCCGTTCCCACCCCTTCTTCACCATTCCTCTCATACTCCGCACCTAACCAGACGGCACACGGACCATTCGTCGATCCCTATTCCCTTCTTTTATATATCCAAGAACCATCGTCGACAGACGTCGGCGCATGGATACCACTTTCTCGCGTTTCCCGACGGATTGCGACGTTTTACCGTCGCATTTTCCGTTTGGTCGACGCTCGAGCCGATGCTCATAACCGATCTCGATGTATCTGGATACACCAACTTTAAAGCGTACCTTGTATTCGAACGATCTTGGAGGATCGAATGTCGTCTTATCTGTCTATAAGTTGTGTTTACGATAAAGATGTTAACATGGCAATTTTCATTTTTATAATAAAATGATGCTTATTCCTATATGCGCAGACACTTGGCAAACAGTTCTTTAATCTCATTGTTTAAAGGTCTGGATGTCGCTGCTTGATGTTTTTCACTATGTATTATTCGAATAAAATTGTGCATCATTCTGATGTACATGCATTTTCACATTTTTGTGTAGTACGATACCGAAGGTGAATATTTGTAGTTTACAAAATATCCAAAGAAGGGTATCAAGTGTCTCTAGGAGACTTTGTACTCAGGAGAGATATGAGGGTTTCATGCATAAAGTTCTATAATATCACAATGCCTGCGAGTCTAACATTTTTCTGCATCAATATACCGAAGTTGAGAACTTCGAAGAAGAGACCCCACACAAATTCCGAGACAGCTGTAACATATTTCACACATCCAAGTTCCGTGAAACCTACCACCATGTGTGTACAGTTCAAGTGAATTTTAATAAATCAAAATTGGATAAAACGAAATTGTCTATCCCTCCGAAGGATTGTTTGATCCTTTAAATGTCAGAATTAACCACAAAACATATGAGAGTGTTTCGAATGACAAGTTTGAAAATTCCATTAACAACCACAACATAGAATCGAAACGAGACGGAATTAACATGTTTCTCCCCTTCCGCACTCAATTTCGAACGTTACTAATTAGTCCGCTTAACACGATCAATAGGCCAGTCGCTAATACGGTTACATCGATGTCGCAGATCAATCACGGGGACTCTGGAACCGTATCAGTCGTTATTTCGACGTAACATTGGAATGACGGGTGGATCCCATAATTCCCATATCATTTGTCGTGTTTAATTATCCTGGTACTGGCATTTTCATAGCTAATAAATCCCACAAATCGATAAATGTATGTTAATCAATACGTCCACGATCGGTAGTGATTGCACTCACACCGATACATATTGATGATGTTCGAACAATTCGATACCAAACTATTCCATGGAAAGTATCGAAACATATCGAAATCTTATGTATATACTTGGTATCAATTTTCGAGACCCATATTTCTTGAAGCGATACTTAACCAATGCAAGTGGGTAGTATACCGAAACAATATTCGTTTAATAATTCCGGAAGGCATCGATACCCGTTTGATACCTACCAAAATTATCAATACCCTTACTATACAATGGTCATTAACGTAATACATATTTATGATTGATCGTTCCCATTCACCCCAGTCTGCGATAATCGACACAATGCCCGTTTATCGCCGGAGGAAACATCGCCAGCACAATTAACGAAGTTTGTTAAAAGATTAAAGGGAATCACCAAGAGCATGCCTCGAGCTCCACTGTTCCGTGACAGGCTACTAATTAACAGGAGTTAATACTAATTAATAGAAGCGTACCATTCGTAGCGCGCAGCTGTTTGTTATTCCTCGAGCGATGTTTGCGTTGCAGCTGAGAGTTCAGAACGGCGAGGCTCCAGGCCGGGGGCTATATATTTTCAAAAATTCATCGAAGCGTCTTACGACTCAAGCCCGTTGTTATCCCCCTTCTGTGCGACGTGTTTACCTAACGTAATACCTAGTTATCCGTGTCGGCGGGAATTAGTCGGCGTCTCCGGTAGTCGATGACAATTTATTCGTTGAGCTCGCGGGAGCTGGTTGCGCTTAAGAGAAAGAGCAAGGGAAACAGAGAGATCGTGCTTCGTCGAGGGCAGGGAGAGGATATATCTCGTCGACTTAACAAAGTCGCGGAGCAACGAACCGTCATGTTGCGCCGGGTAGTTTGCAGATCTGCTGGCAATAGAATCGGGGAGGACTGCTCGATTCAGGAGTCGGAGAAAGAGGTGAGGGGGGGGGGCGGTCCAAGGGAAGGAAAAGAAATCGAGAAGGAGAGGGAGCGCTCGAGTTGTTTACAAAATGGAATAACGAAACGCTAACCTGTTGAGGTATCAGGTGGATGAAGAGAAGCTACTTATCGTCGAGAACCATCCCACCCCTTCCCCCACGGACGTAACCCCCCCAACGTGGAAAAACGGCCACGTCCAATTTATTTCCGGATCGCAGAGGAAGAAATTCGCGGGACGACATCGACGACGCGGAAGAAAGCGTCGCGACGCAATAAAGGAATCTGGAATGAGTAATCGAGAATGCTGTGGAAGAGTCTGGGGATTCCTCGAAGCAAGGAGAAACGGGATTATCGAGGGTGAAGATAGGGCCGCCGAATCGCTCGATTCGTTCCTGAGATCCAATCGACGGGGAACAGGATACTAACCTGTTGAGGCGTCAAATGGATGAGGGGTGTAGAGTTTTTCGAGGAGATCCTAGAATTCCTATCGTCTGTGCTTGATTACGGAAACGGAGAATGGTTATACAGCTTGGGGATTATTCGGATCTTTGATTCGTTTTCGAGAATCTTGGGGGAATTGCGAGTCGAATTCTCGCTTGAATTCGAGAAACCGGTACGTGGGTGAAATCTTGCGAAGGAATTGGCGATGATAACCCGTTGAGATTGCGGACGAACAGGAATAAACGTAGGTTAGGTTAAAGATTGAGGTTTAATCATCTTATGTCATCTTATCTCGCTGATTAAACGAAACCTGAACGTTAATCAGATCAATGGTAAAATATGAACGGATAAGTGAACTCATTTATACAGGGTGTGGTGTAATTTGTAGTATAGACGAAATGGAAGAGATATCTAAAAATAAAAGTGAAATGTAAAGTAGAATATTTTCACAGGAAGTTTTGTTGTTGAGAATATACGTTTTGTACTGTTACTCGTCAACAGACAGCGTATTTTATGCACTTAAAGCTGTATGATTGGTTAAATCTGAGTATATAAAAATATATAAAAATATTTCAGAAAATGTGATGAGGTTTTCTTATTATTTGACATCCAATAGAATCCTTAGTTGGGTAAAGGAATTTCTGTTCGATGTCACTTTTTGTAAAATGGATAAGAAAAATCTATGTTTGCATAAACATCCGCAGTTTGATCATCACAATCTAACAACACGGTAACACACGACTCGACACATCATGCAATTCAATTCTGCGCGAAGGGAAGGAACTGGTCAATGCAGTTTCGTTTCCTGAGCAAAAAAAGAGCGAAGCTACAAGGCGAAAGATCAAAAGAGTATCGGGAACTAACCTGTTGAGGTGCTAGGTGGATCGAGAGGCTACTTATAATAGAGACTTCCAATTCGACCCTCTCGGAACCGGCCGTATTGTTGGCGTGACAGACGTATCGTCCGGCGTCCTCCGCTCGGGCCGATTGTAGCACCAGCACACCCGCCCGCGCGTGAATCCTCTCTGAATTGAATATCATCGCCGTGCCAGACACGGACTCGCGAAACCATAGATACATCGGTGGTGGTAAGCCTTGGGAGATACAGGACAGCACGATCGTCTCCCCTGTTCGAATCGGTGCCGGACTGACCCGTTCGTTGAATCGTGGCGAAGCTGGGTTTGACAGTTCTGGAAAGAATAAGAAGATAAGGACTTTAATATTGATCCAACGAAAGTTTCTTAAATAAGGACTCATGTCTGAGACACCTCAGATTCAAGAAAGTAAATCCGACACCCAATGAATTTATGGACCCAAAACTACTCAGATTCAATAACCCAAGTCTTGAAATCCCTACAACTGACTGATCCAAGCTCGAGATCTCTCGAGTCTGGAGACACAAGCTTAAGACCTCTGAGCCCAGGGACCCAAATAGTCTGGGACTCATTTCCTCTTCTCGGTTCCAGGGTTACGAGCTTGAGTCTCTGGGTCCGGACAGCTTCGGCCCTGGGTTCTTGGGTCCAAGGAGATGTCTAGCTGGGGTCCTCGGGTCCAAGGGTCATTTTGCTTGAATTCCTATATCTGGAGACCATGGCCTTGGATTTTTACGTTCTTGCGCTTGCGTTTTTGAGTCTACGTGGCCTTTGCCTCGGTTCTTCTCATCCGGTTGATTTCAGGTTTGGGCCCTCAGGTTAAGAGTGTCTTAGGCTTAAGTCTTTGATCCTTGGGTCACTTAATTTCCATCCCTCGAACCTGGTTTGGTATGACTAGACTTTCTTGGTCTTAGATTGGCTTCACTGGGTTTCCTCGTTCTTAGGTTGGTCGAGTTTGACTTATTCGGTTCTAGATTGGTCCAATTCAATCCCTTGGGTCTTGAGTTAGTACAATTTGAGTCTCTTCATATTCGGCTGATCTAAGTCAAATCTTTAGGCGCTACATTCGTAAGATTCCATGTTGCTTTTATGATTTTTCAAGCTTCAAGTTCGGAGTCTTGCATATTATAGATAATAATGTAATTCCTAATCGTAACCTGAACGTTATGTTTTCTATTACATTTTGTTCCAGTTACCGTAACATAGATCAAAATCATTACTACAAATGTTAGTGGATAGTTAGTGTGTTTTATATAAACTCACTGAATTTACTTTTCACAGTTCGAAACATCCTGCAATCACGGCTTTTTCTCCGCTTCCGAACTTCCAGAAGGACATAATTTACAAACTTAATTATTCCGACGCTTCCAAGTTTGAACGTTCCTGAATAGAATAAACAGTACTCGGTAATGTAGTTTCACGTCATCAAAGCACTACGTTCGCGAAAGAAAAAAAAACAAATATTCCTCTCTGAATCTCTGACCGATTCATCCCTCGCGTTCCACCCCTGAACAATTAGTTTTTCCCGCCACCGACCGTACCGACGAAAGTTCGCTACCGGAAAGTTGGAAATTGACGTGTTATTTCAAGCCTCCGCCCGACGGAGGTTTTACATCCTCCGCTCTGGTGGTCGGGTTGAAGATAACTCGCTGTATTTCACCGTAACCCGAGCTCCAGAGGCCGATGAATCCCAAGGATAAAAACGACACTGTCGTGAATGGATTCTTTCTTTCATCAATTTTTCTTCAACACCCGTGTCGCTTGATACCACGAAATACATTTCGAATCGTCCGGATATTCACGAGAAAGAAATCGCCCGGGGACTTGTTGAAAGAGACAAAAATCTCTGTATCAATTTTTCATGCTCGCGTAGGAGCTCCTTTTGTCCCCGCTGCGTATTATACGACCTAGTATGCTCCGCAAATTTACATTTATTTCTTTCCCCCCTCTCTCTCTCTCTTTCTCTCGCTATATGCCTCTCATTCATTTGTAGCATATTTCCACCTTCCTTTTACGATTTAATTACACTTTATGCCATTTTCAGGCAGCCTTTATTATTAATTTCGAGCGGTCTCTGTCATACAAAATGTAAACCTGCCGTTTGGAGTATCGTACCAGAGCGTGCTACAGTGTCACGCGACAGTTTTACGTTCCAGCAACATCCCATCGACCCCCCGTCCCAAGGTACGTTTACATTACCGACGGTTAATTGCGCCTCGAAATAACAATATTTTCCGCTTGCTTGGCAAACGTCATGATCACACGATCGTTCGACAAGTGGAACGTTTCCGTCGCGATACGCGGTCGCTGAACTCGATAACTTATTAACGAAAGCATGTATTCGGTGACTTGGGGGAAATTGCGTCCTCTCTCGAGAGAAAGATCTATAGTATTTTAACGAGCAACGAGCTCGACGGACGCGTCCTCGTTCCGATCGCGATCAGAAAATCTGCGCGAGTAAACGGCCGTCCAATTTCCCTAGAATCTTGGGATCCTGGTGGCGGTCGAAAAACATGGACATTTTATTTCTGTTTTTAGGAACGCTCGAACACCTGGGCGGTGTTTGTCGGACAGTTGGACCTCGCGAGACTGCCGAACCTTTTTACGGCTGGCACTATTTTATAATGGCTCGCTCTCGCTTTGTCTGGTTCGCGTTATTATTGTAATTTAAGCTGATGGCGTATTGATCGTCGCTCGCCTATTCACCGGTTGGATGCCCTGTCTCTGTCGCGCCACCGTGCAATTCCAGTTGCCATATTCCAGCAAGCCAGACCCGCCACCACACCCTTGTGTTCATACTCCAGCCCGGTTGCACCCGGCTCGTGCATATACACGCTCAAAACTTTTTATGCCATTTACATCCGACTTACGCCTGAACGTCAACTTCGCTCGCGTTGACGTCCCCCCGTCCCCTTTCGCTCGACGGTGAAAAGAAGGGAAAAAACAACATCACACTCCGCGATCGATGCTCGAATCGAAAGAAACTCGTTCATCAACGATTGCACCGACGACGGAGCTGTTCATTAGCGCGTTAATAACTCTCTGTCGTCGACGACACGACTACTTTGCTGTTCAGACCCTGCCTCGCGTTCCACGGTGTTGGATTGGTTAATGTTCGCTGCCTGATCGGTGGAATTATCGATCGTAATTAACGGTCTCGAAAGTACGGCGCGGCTCGAGACGACGGAGGGGACCGACGAAGATTTGGCTGGCCACTTTAGGGACCGTTTCGTTGCCGGCTGTGCCGTAAATTGGGATTCGTCGACGGGCAGGTGGGGATTTGGTCTTGACCGTGGGTCATTTCGACTGTTGGATAGTTGCTGAGTCTCGGGAGAACGAGCACGGTGTATACTATAGACCGTAACACTTACCGTCGGGATAGGAACTTGGATACTTTCCACCTGAAGGTATTGTCTGGTTGGTCATGACCGTGGGTCATTTCGAGTGTTGGATAGTTGTTGAGTCCCATAGGATCGAGCATAATGTAGAATAGATTCTAATGGTTAGTCCTGAAACGAAGATTTGGACATTCCCTGGTCGTTGTAGAGATTCTGTCTGCTTTCAAGTTTGCTACCTCTTGAGATTATACTACGAGCATGTGGGCATTAATTGCTCACGGAAATTTATAAAATACAGAAGAGTTCTATTTTACTAATACCATGAAAACTGAAAATCATAGAATTTAGCTTTCTTGCCTGCCAGTTCTGAACTGAACTGTCTTTACTTAGTATAGACCACATCGGAAATATACGTGGGTGATGTTACAACTAAAGTGCAAAGTAAACATTTTTCAATAGCGCGTCGTACAACGAGCCAGTCTAGAAAAATCATTCCCGGTCTGATGACATTGGACAACAAATTATTAAATAAAAAATAGTACATGCTACACGGACAGTACACGATCCTTACCATTTCTCCGCCCACAGCTCTTAAAGTGTTACAATTTCTAACTAAACATCCTATAAAATAGAAATCTCTCCTCTACCTGACGATCTATCAAGAAAACCCCCGGTCAAGTATTTCCCGGAGAAGGAAAAGCTCGACAGAGGAATAACGAGGGAAAACACGTTACGCTGGTCGGAAAATTTCAAAAGGTTCTTCGCCCCCGAATGCTCTTACCGCGTAGGCAGCTAAAAAGTTAAACAGAAGGAGTAGGGTAGGACAAAGAGATAGAGAGAAGTTTAATTAATAGCGGGGGAGCAGCAAGTGATTTCCAAGTACACAAACTCGGGCTAGTATCGAGGAAGAGCACTCCTGTCGGCGTACCAGGACGACATTTAAGCGGAACATCGGGCGGACAGAGACAGTGCGCTCAAACGAACATCTTGATGTCCTTTGAGCCATCAGTCATTGACTATGTAATCCAAAGTCCCTCCCACCCGTCACTCGATCCGTTGGCGAGTAGGCACGTGGAAACGCACGCCGAGGGACGGAAAAAAAAAAGATTACCCGCGGCTGAAGGGAGCGGAAACCGCGGGCTGGAACGATGTCCAATTAAACCTTTCGAGCCGTCGACTTCAATTAAGACTCTATTAAATATACACCGGGACCGCGCGTGTATCGCCGGCAAAGTGAATTTCAAATGGCCCCGGTCTTTCTCGCGTATTTACCTGGAACAAGCAACTCCGTCGTGACAAAGTTGCCACTAATTAGCCGTACAATGTATCTCGCGCGACACGAGCGCGTGCGCTACGCGCTCGCCCTTTAAAGCCGTTCAAATACTTCCGTGGTGCGGTGCCACGGCTTTCTTTTACGACATTTATTCCCATAGTGCTCGCCAGCTGGAACTCCCATAGCGCTCGCTGGTATCGTAACCAAACCCTTGTCCTGTTTGTACGACTACGAAGGATTTGCATTCTACTCTGGTCAACGGAAACGGCTTCTATCGCGTGTGGTTCGTTAGAAAGATTCTGAACCGAGAGCTCTATGAGAAGAAATATTCCACTTCGTTTCACGAACATCCTATTAGATTACAGTAAATCTTGGAGGAGTGTTTTAAGACTTCTCGACACTGAACATTAAATATTTCATAAACTAATGGCCATATGCGGCAGACACAATTATCATTGGCTTCAGAATTCCAAGCTCTGGCACTGTGCTGAACCTCGCTAAAAAGTCAGAGTTAGATTTGGGGAACTCTACAGAGTGCCGAGGAGCCTTCGAACACTCATCGATGATTTCCTGTATACACGACGTGTAACGTGCATTTCTTTTCTTCAACCACTATTAGGGGTCTGTATTCTATTGGTACTAACAGACACGGTTTCTATCGCGTTTGCTTCATTAGAAAGATTTCAAACCGCGAGCACTATGAGAAT